GGGCGGGAGGGGACAGGCCGGAGGCTTCTGGGCGCTCCGCTCGCTCCTGCGCGCAGGGGAAAGTAGGTTAGGGATCCTGCGCCGAGCAGTTGCGTCTGAAAAGCAGAGACTTGGTTCTTCGGTCTAAATTCAACCTTTCTTTTTTCTTTTCTTTTCTTATTTTTTTTTTTTAAGTAACTTCCCGGGGTTTTTTTTAGTTTTAGGCTTTTTTTTTTTTTTTTTTTCTGGGTGGGGGGAGGATTAAAGAAAATCTGTTTCGGCATTATGCCTGACGGCAATTAATTACAGCGGCGCTTTTAGGGAAGCCTCCCATTTTAGGTGCGTGTGTTCTGCTGTCTGTTACTTGAGTATATGCTTTCCATTCGGATAGACATATGTAAATGTTAGCGCTTAGTATAAAAAATAAAATAAATAGATTTGTCTGGAGGGTATAGTTTTTTTTATTATTATTTATGTACTTATTCTAATGATTAAACTGATGCAGGAGATGGCACTCTCTTCTTCTGTTTCGTGTGGGAACCCGATAAGGAATTTTTCAGCAGGGGAAGTTGTTAACTTCCTGGTCCCAGCCAGCTTTTGTAGCTGCTGTTTGTGTCCGTAACGTCACGCGGCAGCAAAGAGGAAGTTTGCGAGCAGTTTGGTCTCGGCTAGACGCGGGGCGGTTTATGGAGCCCCAAGTAGCTTGCTGCTTTCTAAAACGTGTATGTGTACACACCCTCGTTGCTTTTAGACTGACCCAGGCTGTTCCGCAGCAGATCTTCCCCTGTGGTGGTTTTTGCGTGAGCCCTTGCTCAGGCTGTAAGTGCGTAGATTGCCTGTTATGACTTATTAGAAAAGGTTTTCGCCGTGGACGATACGGGGTCACACGGATCACCCTGGAGCTGAAGGGCATCGCTTTCCCCGTGCGTGCCTCCGTGCGCTCACCTCAAACCGTGTGTTTTCGGGTGAAGTATTCACGTCTTCTACAAAGGTCACGCTGCAGTGGCTCTCGCAGCCCACACCCGCTTTGCTGTCCCGTGGTTCCAGGAGCTGCTCTGTGCGAGCGCACTGCCGGCCCCGGGCTCCCTCCAGAGCAAGGCAGCGGAGGAGACGTGACTCCACCAGGCAGCTGTCCCTCTGCGGGGTGGCAGTTTGTCTTCCTCCCGTTTCACTGCACCTCTGAATGTCCTCATTCCCTCAGGAATTCTACTTCAGGAATACAGACCCTTATTTTAAGATGAATGCTTTGCCAGTACTTCTTCCTTTGCCCGCAACGCACATCCCAGAATAAATTAAAAGACATAGGTCTTTAAATACTCTCCAGCACATATGTTCAAAGAAGCTGCCTCTGCGGTGGGGTGTAGGAGAGAGTAGGAAGCTGTTATTTATATCCCTTAGTTTTTAATACTAATAGCTTAGGCCATTTCAGACTTTAAACTGTCCCAGGTTTCTCATCTTGTGTCCTTTTGTTCCTTTTTTATTGTTCCTAGAGATCAGAATATAACAGTCATTTGTTCCTGGGTGAGTGTAGCCTGGCTGAACGCTCAGTGCTCTTACTGCTTTCAAGCATCCTTGCTTGTGCATCCTACTTTTCCTTTAAAATGATTTTTGGAGCATTGTGGGGACAACAGTTTTGCAATGAAAAGCATAAGATTTCTATTGCTGGGATGTGTATTAGCAGTTACAATCACAAATGCACATGAAAAAATGATAGCTAGATTTTCATCTAGCTAACCCTTAAATGAGGTATTAGCTAGATTTTTGTTTTGCTTCCGTTTCAAATGTTTGTCTGAGTAGATGCAGGCAATTAGGTAATATAAGCAGCCTTGCATTTCTCTTGCAGAATTAGTGAAAGTGTCCACTTTTGACATAGTTCATCTTTCTCTGACAAATGAAACAAGCTCTGAAAAGGAGAGAAACCATCAGCAGCGTTTGGGAACTAGCAGACCTGGGTGTGCAGGTGTGGATTATGAGACAGTTAAACCCTGCTGCTTGCCAAGTGTATTGCTTATTTGCAGAAATAGGGGGCTCCGCTTCGTCGCAGAGTGCAGTAGCACCTTTAGTTCACACAGCCATCTTGCTGCGTTTCCTCTCTGCACAAGGCACGATAATTGAAGTGGGGATGATAATGTGATTATTCAATAGGGAGAGTGAGAACCAAGGTAAAATGAAGTTTAATATTTAATCTGTGGAGGCTACCACGTCACCAAGCTCTGCTTTCCCACAAGCACACCTGCTGTTCAGCAGTGGCTTTGCCTTCAATGACATTTGTTTCAACCACAGTCCCCTAATGATTACTGAGCAGGCAGTTCTGAAGTACTCAGTGCTCTTAATGGGTGAGAAAACAAAAGTCCTCTTAAGCAAGTGTTAGTAGAGCGTGAAGGTAGATTGTTGGCCCAAGCAGAGAGAGTTAAAGGCTGGAAATGCTTGTGTACTAGAACAGTTTCACACAGCAAGGCTCAAGTTAGTTTTGACAAATACGTAATGTGTGTGGGTGGATCATGGGTTTGTTTAGTAGCACTGCGAGCATGTGTTTGCCCCTGAAGTAAGTTGATTAGTAGGCATTTTACACCGATTTTGTCACTCTAGCATCTAAAATAGATTTTTAATGTAGGGGTACATGTCTGTATTTGTGATACACTGAGTTATCTAGGGATGGATAAATGACATTCTCTGCTCACTTAAGTGATGGTAAACGGGAAGCTGACGAATACTCAGCAGTCACTCCACATTGTCTGCTGGACTGATATGATATATATGTTAGCATAAGCAAGCCTTACGTGCGCAAGTTTTGTAGTTCTATGCTGGTGCATGAGCTTCACTTTGAGTTGCTGAGGCATCTGCCCCCTCCCTGCAGTCAGTGTTGCATCAGTTGTAGGCTTTTTTGTTAATATTGCCCATCCCTCCCCATCCTTTGTTGGAAGCATCTTCCAAAAAGACAAAGTATGGGAGCACAAACCCAGGCTGAAGCTGAAATGCTGTTTGCGCTTTAAAAGGCATTCAGGCGGGTGGTGTTGGAGGTTCCAGCACGAGCGCTCCTTCCGCTTGCTGCTCTGCCATAGCTATCTACACATGTCTTTGAGTAAAGCAGACATACAGGCAAGACCAAGGGGACATCTCAGGCATCATTCTTTCTTTTCCTTGTCTTAATTATTTTATCATGTAATTTACGTTACTTTCTTGCTTTGGGTTGTGCACTGCTGCAAGGTTAGATGTTTTTTGCGGCCAGCGGATCCCAGTGAAAGCTGGAGCTGTGTGTCAGCAGGTGGACTCAAGTCATTGCGAGTGCAGCAACAGAAGAGCTCTTATTAGGGAGTTAAGATTGGAATCCACCTCTTAGTAAAACTCATTGTACAGAGGTATCAACCAGCAGAAGGAAGCAGGGGAGCTTTTACCCGCTTAACGTTTTCAATATACTGAATTATTTTCCATGTTATGTCAGTGTCTAAGCACTGTTTTCAGAGCCCTGCCACAGGATGTTGCCTGTCGTGTTTGTTTGTCGTGTTCGCTAGCCTTGCTCGAGTAGGATGCTGTCATTTGCAGATGACAGAGAGCAGGGTAGGCATTCCCATAAGCTATGCTCTTCTGATCATCTAATGTCGCCATGATTCAACTTCTACAATATTTACTTTCCCTCTGCTGTTTGTTTTTCACATGCCATCCCCCTGTTGTCACTGTTTGACTGACTATCCTGTTTGGAGATACACTAAATAGCTTGTTATTGGCAGTCAGTGCAACATCACTTTAAAAGTACCAGTGCTAAGTAAAAGTCTCTAAACCTTTCATTAAAAGCAGTTCTGCTGCCTCTCATTCTTGTCTGTCATGTTTCCTGAAAAGCCTCTTTTGACAACTGCCCAATAGTCCTTACTAAGATCTTGGCTGTGTATGGGGAGATCCTGCAACTAGAAGCTGCTGCGGGAAGCAGGCAGCTCAGACTGTAGAATTCAGCACCAGCAATCATGTATTTTCTGAGCCCTCAATGTTAGTTTTCAAAATAGTAGTTAGTTTTCTTTCTTTCTTTTTTTTTTCCCATAATTTGCATAGTTTCTGCTTCACTCTAATGGGAACTAAATCAGTCAATTCTGAGGAAACTCTTCACTTTCAGAGGACACTCTAGACACCATAGTACTGAAAGTACCTGTACTTTGAGAGAACCATTCTTACCAATATATTATAATTAAAAATGCGAACTGTTCATGTGACATGAGTGATGCACACTGATTGTCTGAAAAGCTAGACCAAGTAAAATAAATGTACTATCAATAAAAGACTCTAGATTTTCCTGATTCTATGTAGCAGCTAACGAGCTTGTCTTCTGCTCCTTTTCAGTCTTTACTACTAACATTAAAAGTATGTATTTTTTTTAAAGGTGGCCCTCAACCCTACATTGAAATATTTGAGCAGCCCAGGCAAAGGGGAATGCGCTTCAGATACAAATGCGAGGGGAGATCGGCAGGCAGCATTCCAGGAGAGCACAGCACAGATAACAATAAGACGTTCCCTTCCATACAGGTAATTTTGCTTTTATCCAGAATTAGCATTGCTCACTTTGCTATTGTTCTGTAGCTGTGTGGTTGACTTGGTGAAGTAAATAAAGGGGATATATCTCATTTCATGCTAAGCTAGTCTTTCCTTGACATCCAATATATTTAAAACAGATTTAGAAATGAATTTTTTACTGCTGTCACTAAAGATTTTGTGCTAAATCTACCTGAACAGGAAAAGATGTTCAAGTAAGTAACAAAGCACCCATATAGACAGAATTCAAAAATACTGTTACTCAGGGCTAGAGAACTATTTGTTATTAATTTTTTCCGTATGTGTGCTTGTTCTGGTTTCTTAGTTATGGGGTGTGAGATTGGTTTAACTGTTTGAACAGTAATGTGAATTTTGGGAGGACTCTGAAGGAGGTTGTCTGTGTACAGAATTTAAAAAGGCCAGTGTGTAACTGCTGGAGCTGCATGAAAGAGGGAGCTCTGCCGAAAGAAGTGAAGTAAAAAAGTGGCTTTCAGCCCGTGTGATTCAGTGGTTAGGTTCTGCAAAAGAAACTACCATGAAGTATACGAAGACAGAAGGGGATACAAAACTTAAAATGAGCTGAAAAGGGTAATTATGTGGTCAGAGCACCTGCAGGTGAGGAAGAGCTGGGTGGCTGCATTATGGATAGGTTGAGAAATCCAGAATGAAAGGATTCAGGCTAGTCCTGACAGCTATGATCAAAGCAGAGGCAAAAGTATGGACAGTGGAGATGGATTGGAAGGGTTTTGGAGATGTAGTAAAGGAAATGATAGAAAGACTAGCAGTTACTTTCATATGTGGGACAAAAGAATGTCTGGGCAATCCTAGAGGGGGAGGGTAAGAAAGAAGAATTTCTGGTTTGCTATTTCAAGTTTTAAGGTAATAGTTTTTCTTTTATCTCTTAAAAACTGGGGAATATCTTTGAGAGTTGAGATTAGAATGGAAGGTTCAAATAGGCACCAGTATTTGCAATCTTTAAGTATATTATGGTCCCCAGGAATGGAAGCCGAGTATCTCCATGTCTGTAGTGTGTGCGAATATGAAAAAAAAATGGAACTAAAAATGGAGTCTAGGGAATTGCAGCAGAGAAAGAGATATGGAGGAGGTGAAATCCAAAAGATACGGGATGTTTTCAGCTGAGACATAAAAGCCTCAGCCTTCTCCTTGAGAAGGGCAAACCTTGAAAACAAGGGTATTAACAATGGTGAGCTGAGCAGCACAGTGAGCTTTTACTACACAAAGTAATCAGGCTCCTGTGGAAGCTGGGCTAGCCCTGAAGCCAGAATTACTAAAGGAACAAGCTGTTAAGAAGGTGACCCCTTGACTAGCAGAGCTGTGGTTGAAGCATGCGGGAAGCTAAGGAAATCTTGCTCAGTTTCAGAGTTCCACCAGTTGAAGAAGGAACTGTGTGAGCTGCTAGAAATAGCAGATACTTCCACAGATCCTCAGGCCTGAAGCAGTAGGTCCTTGTCAGGACACAGGTTTGATGGGCAGCATGAGCATGTGATCCCTCTTAACCTGGACTTCTGCTGCACATGAAGATTGGCCTTACTGAAGGGAAGATGGGACTTGATAGGGACTAATCTTGGCATAATTTGTTCTTTAATATAAGTGACTGTTGGTGACAAAGCTGATTGCTACTGATAGGAGGTGATTTCTAGGTGAATCCCTGCCTCCCTGGAGACTGTAGGAGGCTTTAGTGCTAGGGGAGTTCCTTCCAGAGATGGAAACATCAATGAGGATGAAAACAGAGAGGCCAGGAAGAGATTAAATTTTGTGGTGCAGATGAGAGGAAGAACATCAAGGAGGAATTGGAGAATCAAAACAGCTAGACCAGGCTTCAAGCATAAGGGGCTGAGAGTGAAATGAGAGAGGAATGATGTAAAATTTGAAGAAGCTGAAAGAGTCATGGGAGAGTTTTATTTTAAGGGTAAAAAGAAACAGTGGCTTATACGAAGGTGAAGGCCCTGTTCTTCACCTTCTGTTTTTAGATTCACCCACACAACCCTTGCTGACTTCCCTGGTAGCTTTCAGCATAAGGAAGGCTAGTAGGCACTTGAGACGTGTGGCATCAGGCTTGTGACAGCTCTAATAGGAGGCTGAGGATTTAGTGGCCCTCTCCTAATTCTCAGGTGAATAATCAGGAAGAATAGACTTCATAGGAGCTAATGTCACACTGTCATTGTTATCCTAAGATCCTCATTCACTGCTTGGTGTACAGGTAATTATCCCAGAGGCTCTAAGAGTGTTTTCCTGAAGATCTTTGAACCTAGTCATGTCCTTCAGTAAGCATTTGTGTGCAGTCACCTGGGTAAAACTTTACATCTTTCATTACAAGGCAAGATATGATAATGAAATATGGTCTGTTGTGTGTTGTCTTAGTGTATTACAGAGTATTTTACTGTTAGGTCGAAGCCTCTATAGCCTACATATTACCTCTGGCCTTTTGCATAGGGGTAAATTCAATTCATATCAAGAGCCCTGCTGATGTATTGAAGTAATGAATCTCCATTCTCAAAGAAAGAAAAAAAAATCTGTAGAGGCTTTAAGGCTTCCTTCCCAATCTCACAGTGTGTATGTGTAGTAAGTGTAGTATAAGTGAATGCAGTGACCTGCATGTCAAATACTGACTTGTTTTACAGTGACCAGTGAAATTTTTCATTGCAAATCACCTGGTGCTGTTATTAAAGCAGCTGGTTAACTATGTTGGTTTCGTTGTTCAAATAGATGAAGCATACTTTTTGAAAACTTACACTTTTCAAATATTTTGCCAAATGCTTGTTTCTTATTGTAAAATTAACTAAACTGAAACATAATGAGCAAAACTTATGGATTTTCAGAGCTGTGGTTCTGGCTCTTCTTTTACAATGCAGTAACACAATTTTCATTGTTGTGAAATAATTGTGGTGTTTTGTCCATGCAGTATTTTGGAAAAAAGTCTGTTTCTGTTAAATGTGAGGACTTTACCTGGTATCTAAAATCTGGAAAATCTGTCATATTTTTGTAGATTCTTAACTATTTTGGAAAAGTCAAAATAAGGACTACACTGGTGACAAAGAATGAACCCTACAAGCCGCATCCTCACGATCTGGTTGGCAAAGACTGCAGAGATGGTTATTACGAAGCAGAGTTTGGGCCGGAACGACGAGTCCTGTCGTAAGTAATAGTGCTGCCTGGGAATCAGATAAATCATGCAGGTGATATATTGATCTTGTGGTTTATGATTCTGACCAGAGATGAAGAGGACAACTAGTACGCTATCTCTGCAGAATTCTACTAATCCATCTCAGAGAGAGGGCAGCTTTTTTTCTTTGAAGTATATCCTTTCTTTTCAATACTTCACACACTCATCCTTTGTCTGTGTTGCTTGTTCCCCCATTATTTGTCTTCCTTTCCTTTCTCCCACTTGTTTACTTTTCTAGTCTTGTTCAGTAGCAGTTCTTACTCTTGAGCTTGACTGTCTTTCACATACTGAATATGCAAAAGTAATAGAGTGGGGAATGACAAAATATTAGAATTAGTGCTTTATGGTGATAAGAGAGTGAGGAAATTCACATCTACCACAGAATTGTGTTTTAAGTTTATGGAGACTGGTAAACAAAACATTTGTACTGACTGAATGTTATGTCTTTCAAAGACTGTGGTTGTGGCAGAGAAATCTAGGAATGTACTAGTAGGTTGTGACTGTTTTCTTGATTTGGGGTGTTTGTTTGAGTTAGTTGTGGTTTTTTGAGTAAAAATGTAGATTTTGCTGAAGTCCATAAAATTCACATGCATGTTTATTGTGCTAGAAGATTCTGGCAGCCTTTTTAACTTTTCTTCATTGTGAAGTAGGTCTTATTTTGCAGAGATGATCTTAACAGCTTTTTCAAATACCTTGGTGTTGCTTGCTTAGCATGATATTAAAGGAAGGTTTCAAGGTTTTTCAAGCTAGCTATCCAAACTCAGTGTTCACCTGTGAAAATCCTGCCCTTGATGTATTGACAGATGTACAGGGTTGACTGTCATCCCTACAGACATGGTATCTTGGGCTGATAGGACTAGGGGTGCAGTGCTCGAGAGGAAGTCATTAGATAGAAGGGTTGGTCTAGGTGATCTCTAGAGGTCCCTTCCAACCTCAACGGTTCTGTGATTCTATGACTATGTGGCCAAGACCAGTATATTGTGCAACTCTGTAGGGCAGACATGCCAGGGAAGGATCTGCTTGTGGGGACCGTGAGAAAAATTCAGGCTTCGTATGAGGTCTTAATTCTGAGCGCTAATCTGAAGGTTGCTACGAGAACCTAAAATGCAACTGGATATGAGGACACTTCTTTCAAGTCTACAAGTGTTCTAGGAGGTAAAGTAAGAACAAAGAGAACTCTAAAAAAATGTAAACTTCAGTTGTTTCCCTAGAAGGGAATCAAGAACTGACAAGATGTTGTTGCGATATAGCATGTTACTGGTAGGTTAGGAAGTAGGTTATTGCTTTGAGGTAAACGTAACTGCACTGAAGAAGATGAAAACTGAGAAGAAAATATGGTACATATTTCAGGGTGTAGATTGGTAGCTCTTACATAGTGCTTTTAAGTCTAATGTGATTTTGTTGATGTTGGTAGAATCACTCCATATTTATGTGGGTTTAGTCAGTAGAGCACTATTAAAGGAGAGAGACAAAGACAGTCTGTTTGATGATGATGGTCTGATGATGAAACAAACAGTTCTAATAGTGGAGACATTTTTTAAACACAGCCTGGGCTCATCTGATTATGAATGTGCAGCAGATGTATGCAGGTAGCACACAACATGTTGACTGTACTGTCTTTTGCTGTTACAGATGCAAACAATTTTATTATTTATTGCTTCTAGCTGTGTTCACAATGTTCACCCAATGCTTACTGATACTGTATACAAGGGATTAGAAAATATATTTCCTCTTAATTCGGCCCCCCACATGTGTTCTGTAATAAATCTCTAGAAAGGTGGAGCTCATGCTTTAGGCACTATCATCTATTTTGGTTGTTTTTTAACTTACCCTCATTGCCCTCTGAGAATACATCTTGCATCATCTAAAAAGCAGCTGTGGATATCTTGAAACTATTAAGGAACCTGTTGGCTCTCTCTGACCATCCATTCCCCAGCTTCCCCTTTGTCTTCTCAAACTAGGCTTCCCCACCCAAGGTCAAAGGATGTCTGCAGCTCTGGCCCATCCCACTTCCTGCTGTCTTCTCTGTGGTTTCTGATCTGAGGGAAAAAAGCCTCATTCTTAACCCCTTTTCTGGTTACATGTTACACTTGCCTGGTGCAGGTAGGCACTGATAAGAAGTTTTCCTCCTGGCATTCTTGTGCAAGAATTTGTTAACTACAGGGTGGAATGCCAAAATGTGTTGGGATGCTCTATATTTGCAAATTTTGATCGCTTTTGCATTATATGCATACATATAATTAAATTCTGTTCTTCAACATTGTGATGTTTCTCCATTTCCCCAAAGTACGTCTGGTCTTTTGCTATATCCATGAATTCTTCTCAGTACTATTGGCTTGTAAGCCCATGCGTTTCTTGCAAAACGGTAACCGGGCTACTTTCCCTTCATGCAAAGGCGATAATGCAAAACTGGACTTTAGCTGAGCTTAGCATCTAGGATCCTGATGGGAAGAGGCTCCAAACACTCTCTTAGGAATATTCCCAGCATTAGTACACTCGCATTTTGTAACGAATCACTGGTGGCTTTAAGATGAAAGAACTGCATGATGCATAATTGGATCTGGATGTTTAAAGTTATTTTCCTTTTTGTGGCTGGTGACTCAGACTTCACATCCTCTGCTTGGAGTCCATGTTAAAGAAAAGCCTCACGTAAAACCGGTGAGCAGGAGATATCCCCTCTTGGTAGTGGCCCCGGCTGCCTCTGATGCTGAGCATCCTGAACTGACCAAAAATTCCTTTTATGTGTTGGCAAATGGGAATTACCAGCTACAGACCTGGGAGCCTTCGCCTTGTTTAAGGTTCCCCAAGTAGCTTCAGTTGAGTGAAATGTTCTGCCTGTTGTGTAACGATGCACCTACCACTACCTAAACGTGATCAGCCATTGCTTGGCCACAGCTAAAGCATCAAGGCGAAAGTAGGAGTGTTGGCACCCAAGTGCCTGTCTGTGCGCTGAGATTCTTACCTCCTAGTTCACTTTCTCTACACAGATGATATCATAGGGCTTGGGGGTGGGGAGAGTTAAGTTTCTCTCTTTTTCCCCCCTCTCTTCCTACTTCTCCCTCTCTCTTCTCGTTATATTGCTTGCTTCCTGTCAGCTAAGGGGGATATGAAACCCCACAGGGTTGCGCAGCTTCTCGCCAGCTTCTTCTCTGCTCCGGCCCTCTACTTAGTGATAGTTAAGCCAAGAGTTTCACTGTGCCGAGGCTCTCTTGAGAGAACGTTTGTGATCCTGGACTTGGAGCGTGCTTAGATGTCTGTTTTGACTCTGCCAGCGCTTGGTCCTCCATGTCTGGGAGCTGCAGAGCAGTGGCTGATGGTTCTTGCACAGCACACGCAGCTTTTGTTCAAGGTTAATTCTTCGTACAGGCGTGGGTGGTGCCATGACTTACAGCGTGCAGCTGGGAAGCCTGGCACGGCTGGGCCCCTGCTTGCGGATGTAATGTGAAACCGGGCCTATTCGCAGCATCAAGGAATGTTTCAAGTTATATTAGGAAAGTAAGTTTTGGGTTTTGGCCAGCATACTCACTCAGTGTGTGCTGCCTTAGAGAGGTGGTACCTACAAGGCAACACGGAATTAGGATGGGTCACCGATGTACAGTACAAGTACTGCATGTCAGTAGGCACGATATCAAGCCAGAGCGCTGAATTATAACGTACTGCTGCCCTTCATCTTCTTCCAGATCCCTGTAAAGCTCAGTAGGGAGCTCAGTAGGCCTGTGGCAAAGGGAGGTTTGTGAGGGAAGTTGGTGATTGTGGAGAATTCGGGACGCTCGGATGGAGCACACAGGGTGGCTGTTGGGACTCCTACAAACTGGGACGGTCTAGTCCAGGGTGGGGAAACTTAGGGCTGCTCTTGAGAGTTGTGGCAGGAGAAAAGAGTGTCTGCAGGTGGATTCAAGTGGGTTTTTCTTTTTTTTTTTTTTGGCATAGCTAAAATAAAGATATTTTGGGGAGGTTTCAAGGGAAAGGAAGCTACCAGTGCTCTTGGAGCAGGATCAGCAGAGCCTGCTGGCAGGGCCTATCTTTGAGCTTTCTGTCACATCGCACGCAGCGATTTCTTTACTTCCTGCTTCGCATCCACTCAGCTTTGATGAGGTCATGGTTTTTCCATGTGGGAAATAGTCACTCTGCGTGGGACTGCCCCCACCTCCTGTGCTGGGGTGATCTGTACTTCTATGCAAATAAGGAAGGCTGCAGCTCTGCAGAACTTTTCCATAATGAGAGGAGACTTCAAAAGCATTTTTACTTGTTTTAAAAAAACTCTTAAATAGTGTTTTAGATATTTACATTCCCTGCTTTAAAAAAGATGTAGGGCAGATCCTTAGCTAATGCACCTTAACAGTTTTATCACTATCCAAAGAAATTTGTCACGTTAGCTGAAACTACAGTCCTGAATATTTTAAGTTTACTTATTTTAATCACTGTAGTATTACTACAGAGGTACCAATTTTTATATGGAAATGTGTATTCCTCTCTAGCATTTTATTTCAGTATGACTCAGTTCTGTTTCTGCTCTCATTTTAGAAAAGTGACGTTCCTGCTTTTTAGATCTTTTATACCCTTCTTAAAATAAGGATTTTCCCCTTCTTGTTGTTATTGTATGTTTGTTCATTTCTTACACCATCTCTTACTGGAGTATCTTTTACCAGCAAATAGTTAATTTAGCTTTTCTGCACAGGGGATTTTATTAGTTACTGACGTCCTGCCGTATGTGCTTCAGTTTTCAGAATTTGGGCATTCAGTGTGTGAAAAAGAAAGAGCTGAAGGAATCGATTTCTTTACGAATCTCAAAGAAGATCAATCCTTTTAATGGTGAGTAGTGCTTTACTGGGTTTTTGAAAGGCAAGTTCACTTTGCAAGATGGTGAGATTTTTTTTCCCTTTTCTGCCTTTGCTTTTGTGATGGAGTCATAGTCTTATTTATTTATTTACTAAGAGAAATACCTTTCCTGTTCTGTGTCCCTCCTAGTTTTTCCTCACCCTTATCACATGGCAAATCTACTCACTATTTTTTTTCCCTTCTCTGCGTTCGGTAGCAAAGTGAGTGAGCTGTGTGGTGTGGGCCAGACAGCATGGGCAAGGCCATCATACAAATAATGGAGGTGATGAGCTAGCAGGAGAGCCCTTCCCTGGGAACTTTACCAGGTATCTCAGGAATGACGTTCCCTAGTGTGGTTAGTGTGCTTCCATAGCAATTTAAACCAATACACATCTAGCTTGCCATAGTCCTGGTCCTTCTTTTGGCCTGATGCTGGTGCTCATGTCCCTCAGGCCCTCATGGAGCTGAGCCTATTGACAGCCATCCTGAAGCTGTTCCTTGATGGATTTTTACAGCACGGGAGCTGGCACAGGCCATCAGGAAGTCCCCAGCAGTATTTTTCTCAGGCAAGCTTTGCTGCTGGAGAGCTGTCCCCATAGGGACCTAGCCCAGGAGCTGCAGTTTCACAGGGCTGCTCTCAGAAAGAGTGGTCTTGCTCTTCCCTCCACCCTGGCCGCATGTTTCCACTGCTTCTGTTGCCACAGCTCTAGAGATCCTATGGCTCTACAGCAAGTGGACGCAGCAAGCTGCTCCAACGGGTGACTAAACTCGATGCACAGGAAAGGTGGGGAATCCATAGCAAGGAGCAGGTCTGACTGGAACAGGACCAATGTTTTCTGCACTTGGGCACAACTAGGGGGATTTAGATGGAAAGCATAAGCATAAATACTAACTCTTTGTAACTCTTTCACCACTTTACTGGCAGGCTTGTTGTCATATGCTAGTGTGGCAAGAAGTGAACTGATGTAGAAAAGCAGCTCTGCTTAGTAAATGTAATATTAATACACTTCCAGGTGCTTCTTTCCAGTTATGTTTGTTTTCCAATTGCTATCTGGAAAAGAATTGTATTTAAGCAATTTCTGCTTTTAGTAGCTGCTGTTGTTCTTGCTTCTGGTCATCCTGTAGAGAAGGGTACATTTGACATCAGAATCCACTGTGCACAAGTGGAGTCATCTTCATGGTCACGCTATGTAAAGTGGGTTAGAAAATGAAATAATTTAACTTGCGCGTTCCAACTTCCCCATATTCCATTATCTCCTTGTTTGTGTCATTAATCTTGTAGCTACAGGAAGAATTTTGGTTTTTTATTCTAATTACTCTACATTAAGGAGTTTCAAAACTAAAATATGTATCTCTTAGGGAAAAAAACCTTCTATTTTTTATGTTGAAGATAATGCATACAGCAAAACAGTTGCTAAACAGGCAACCTCTTGACTGACACCTTGAACTTCTACAAATCAAGAAAGTTGAAATATTTATAAAACCTATGAGACAACAATTCTTGACTATGTAATACAAAATAAAAGTCATTTAGACTTCCAGTGATTCATACTGTTACTTCAAGATTATATTGCTTTGATATTGATTTTCTTTTTAATAATCTTTCTTAATTGTAGAAGTTAAAAAAAAATGTAGATTGGAAATTATGGAAACTTCTGTACTTACTTGATTTCAAGCTCTAATAACATTTGAAATGTTATTGTGAATGCAGTTGCACGTTTGATTAAGGGTTGCCAGAGGTTGGAGACTTTTCAAATATTTTATTTTATACCTTATAAATATATGGATATATGTATCTATATATATATGTAAATATATATCCTGCTAAATTCAGACGAGGCATTCATTGGAATGCTGAGAGCTGGATTTCTGACCTTATTGAAAATATGCACTCTTGATTTTCCTCCTGATAACAAGATACATATTTAACTTTTTTTTTTCCCAGAATGAAAGATGTCTTAGATGTCTTGGATCATCTTTTCTGGAAAAAACATTGCACTGACGATTTGGTTAATTTAACTAAAATATTTGGTCTGGTGTCACTGATAAATCCTAGAGCTCATTCTGTCATAGCAGCTCACTGTTATTTGTCTGCATAGGCTAACAGCTGTTGATTTGTTTCTATGAAAAGTCACTCTGCTGTAGCCTCACAGTAGCATGCAATGCTAAGTATCATGGATACTATTAAGTATCATGGGAAATTAGACCTTTTCCAAAGTTCTTAATCTGTAGAACAGTGACATGAAATAATTTTAATATTCAGAGGGTGGTCAGTTAGTTGCAGCTGAATATATTTGGGCCTAAATGTCTCACACTGATTTGGCAAAGCAAATTCTGGTAAAGTCAGACCAAACAAATGGGTTTATTTTAATTTTTCCCCTGATGGTTAAAAAAAGTTTGACAGCTTTAGTGGGGGAGATTGCGAGGAGAGGGTTCTAGCTGTATTTTTTCAAGTAAGTTGATCTGCTTACTTGCCATAAGTAATTAAAAAAAATGTAATACAGCCAGGTACATTTGTCTTGCATTCCTAATTTTAGAATAGTGGTTCAGAGTCAGGCCGATGGTCCATCTAAATAGTTATCCTGGTTCTGATAATATATACGAACAATAGAATCTGTATTTTTACGTGGGTTTTCAGTGCTTTAACACAACTTAACAGCTTTGAATTTAGTGCCGTGCTCATTTTACCTTGATTCAGTCAGTCCCACCTTGATTTCAGACATGAGAGGCACTCCCCTGTTCAGCCTTCTTGGCTTTCTTCCCTTTACTCCATGAATAAAAACAGAGTCGCCACTTCCTCTTCCTGCTGTTGTGCAGCAAAAGAATACAACACAATCATTTTTTCCAGCTTATTTCTCACAAGAACCTTTAGCGACCTGGTTAGTTCTGTTTGTGGTGCTACTGAGTATGAGAGAGCAAGGCTGTGCTTACCTAAAAATATTTGACATTCTTAGCGCAGTTGGCATGTAGCTGCAGATTCACTAATCGCTGTAGGGCAATTACAGGCTGTGCCTGGTAGCATCTGGTCAGGTCCTGGGCTCCCCTCCTGCAGCAGGGGAGACTGTCGTGCGGCCCTGCCCTGGCACCCTTCTCTAGGCAGAAGCTGTGGTGAAGGGACCAATTCTCATCGCTCGCCTGCGCGTTTGCCTTGGGGCGCTTGTTCACATGTCTGCGCAAAGCAGAGCCGCCCTGAGAGCGACTCCCAGCACAGTCCCACGCCAGGGCCTAATAAAACAGGATTAGATTATGTGTATTCAGTTGATCAAAAGAGTTTCACTAGCAGTAGGCACTGTAATGTTGGCTGCTTGATTTGCATTTTATGTATGGATTTAGAGTTTCTGTCCATTTTCTCATAGAATTAGGTGTATCCTCCACGCTGGTCACAAGTTAGAGTTACTCATATCTCATATGAACATCAAGTTCTGAAGTATTGCTAATATTTTTCAGCTGGGTAGAAGATGCTTTAATGAACAGTTGAATTTTCATGAGGGAGAAAGCTAGTACTCCAAGTGTTCATGTTTTCTTTTTCTATCACTGGAAGAGAAAAGGACAGGAGCAAACAATCCCTTTCCTGAGTCCCTATTTGGGGCAGAAGTTGAATATAGACCCTGTTGACAGATACAAACATCTCCAGCCTGTCAACACATTTGTTAATTGTCATGTCAGTAAGGTCAGACGGAAGCAATAGGCAGATGTGGGGTTGCAAAGTTGCTTTCCAGTCTTCCATGGGTAAAGGGGCTGTCATGCTCCATGGTTCTCTGGTAATCCATCATCCCACCCTTGTAACGACCAGCTGGGTGCTGTATGGACACACCAAGTAAGGGTCATGGCTGGCAGCACTAGGGACTTGCTCAGGAAAGATGATATTGTTTAAGATAGTGTTCTTTTGTGCTCTTATCTGTGTTCTTGAAGCAGTTGATACTTATGTTAGACCTCCTGAATGACAAGGTATTTGTGATCATACTGTGTGTCCAACTGGAGCTTTCCGTGTTGAAGTCCTCATGAAAGTACATCCAAAAGGCTTTTCACTAGAAATTCCCTGAATAATTCTAGAAATCTCTCTCAGCAAGGTGGGAAAACTTGTCTCATCCCTGAGCCCACCAAGGCAATGAGGTGAGTGAGCGCCACACCTTGCAGTGCGGCAGCCTCACGTGCAGCTTAGGCTCCATGGCTTGAGGAGGGATGGCTAGAGCAGCATCGAAGGAGCAGAGGTGCCTCTCCAATGGAGCTGGTCTGTGCCTGCTTTCTAGGGTGTTTGTTTTCTTTAGCTGTTGTTGAGTTGTGCCATATCCTTTACTTCCCCTGTGTTGTCTGATGTACTGCCAGCCCAAATTAAAAGAAAAACCAGTCTTGAGCGAAGAGCTTTTGTGGATGGGTGTGACTTGACATAGAAGCAATGACTGAATTAATAATAACTTGAGTTAATTATCAATGAGGGAAAACCCTGAACATGCCCTGTAAATTTAGGGGAAAACTGTACATAGCAGAGTCCTGTGGAGGAATAAAGCATTTCTAGCCAAGTAAATGACAACATGAAAACCCTATTTGACTTGGTCTTGAGTGAGAAACACAGAGAGTGAATTCGAGGCAACTGATGGAGAGGGTAGGAATAGGCTTTCCCTAGAGCCTGGCAAGCCACCTAAGGCTCCTGTTTTCTTGTAGTTGCTCTGGCTAGCAAGCACCTAATTCATTTTTAGGTTCTTCCGTGTACCCATTGCTCGCGCAGCTCCCTTCGCCTCCTCAGCCTTTCGGTTGTTCCGTTTCCCCTTTCCGCCCCCGGGCAGCTGACCCCACGTTGGCGCTGCGCTCGTCACCGTCTCCACGACACTCCTGCCCGCCTCCGCCTCGTCATCCTCTGGGGCTCGGCCCCGCGCCACTCACAGCAGCTTCCTGCCTATGCACGTAGTCACCCAGCGTCTCCTCCGCAGCCTCCCGCGCGGCCCCTGCACCGCGGTGCTCGCAAGACCCTCTCCTGTGACGCCACTCGCCCACGC